GAGAGCTGCTATCTAGGACACCCGGAGGAGCAGATGGTGGGTTTAGGGCCTTGCTCAAGGGCCCATAGTGGGGAGAATGAGGGTAGGGGCAGGTGTGGGTGCTTCACCTACCCCACCCACATTTTTGATGTTGTCGGTACCGGGGCTTGAACCGGTGATTTTCTGATTACAGGCCCACCTTCTCTAACTTCTGAACCACCACTCCCCTTATTTCTGTCTACTTATGGCAAAGAATTCATACCTAGTGCCTACAATAGCCTTGCAGGGGAAGTCTACGATCTGGGGTTGCTGCAGTCATTCTGATCTAAGTTCAGCAACATTACATGCCCAAAGAATGAGGTCATCTGACTACCTGAATATACTGAATGACCATCAATGGATTTTTTTTTCCTATATGGCACAACTATGTTCCAAGAAAATGCCAGAATTCATCGGACTGAAATTTTGAAATTGTAGTTCATCATTTTCACACATGGATTGGTCGCCACAGAGTCCAGACCTGAACTCCACTGAGGATTCTATGACACCATGAAAGGAGTGTATAGGACTTAGATCAATATAACGTAAAGTAATGTTAGAATATCGAATATTTTTAGCTTAGAGTCATAAAAAAGTTTTTGATTCATATTTAAAATAGAAACTTTGCTATATTTTACAGTGGGAGTGTCAGTTCTGTTTCTTTTTAGCATGAGGTCTCATTTCACATTGTACATTAATCATTTAATTTGTTCATGAGGGAGAGCTTTTTTCATATATGTCTACAGATCAAAGTATTGTCATTTTAAAAGTACATTATGAATTAGAACATGACACAAGATGTGCTTGTGAAATCAAATACATCCTGTCACTCAACTCGACCCAGATGTGGAAAGAAGATTGTGATGCAAGAGCAAAAAACTGTGTGTCAGACTGCAGTTTGAATCTAAATTCATGTATCAACAAGATCTAGTCAGCTCACTGGAATATTCTCTTACTTATTTTCCCTCATAAGATCTTAAGCTGTTCATTCCTGTTTTCTGGAAAAACAAAACTAAATTACCAACAGGTCCAACATGTTAGAAAACTTCCACAATCCTTTCATTTCCTTTAAGTCGTGAGATTTTGGTATCAGATGTTGCCAGAAATCTGTGCCTTTTTTATTACATTTGTCTGCTTAGCATCAGAGTATCACCTTTCAAAATAAAAGTTGAACATTTACCATTTAAAACTTCAATCTGAAGGAGTAAATTAATCAAGTAGGAGGAACCTTGCAATCCAATGAACAAAAGCTGGTTTCCTGTGATCACTGCGGTTTCCCTCACATGACCATTCTTACTCAATACTGTATATTTATTTTACACTCCACACACACAAACCTCAGAAGAAGCAGTGGGGCCAAATAGTTCAGGGAAGATACAGAGTGTATGAAAAATTTGAAAGTGGATTAACAAAAATAAAAGACCCTCACGTAAAGGTAAGTTTGAGATCATCCATACTCTATTATTACCAGAGATACAAAAAAAAAAAAAAAAAATACAGTGGGGAATCTCAGTATTTGATACACTGCCAATTTTGCAAGTTTTCCCCACGTACAAAGAATGGAGAAGTCTGTAATTTTATTGTAGATACACTTCAACTGTGAGACAGAATGTAAGAAAAAAAATCCATAAAATCCTATTGTTTGATTTTTAAATAAGTTATTTGTATTTTATTGTATGGAATAAGTCTTTGATACAATAGAAAAATGGACTTTAATATCTGGTACAGAAACCTTTGTTTGCAGTTACAGAGGTCAGATGTTTCCAGTAGTTCTTGACCAGGTTTGGACACAGCAGCTGAGATTTTTATCTTCTCCTCCTCACAGATCTTCTCCAGATCTTTCAGGTTTCAGGGCTGTCTCTGGACAACATTGAGTTTCAGCTCCCTCCAAAAATTTTCTATTGGGTTCAGGACTGGAGACTGACTAGGCCCCTCCAGGAGCTTGAAAATCTTCTTATGGAGCCACTCCTAGTTGTCTTGGCTGTGTTTCAGGTCATTGTGATGCTGGAAGACCCAGCCATGACCCATCTTCAATGTTCTTACTGAGGGAAGGAGGTTGTTGGACAAAACCTCATGATAAGTGACCCCATCCATTCTTCCTTCAAGATGGTACAGTTGTCCTGTCTCCTTTGCATGAAAGTACCCCCAAAGTATAATGTTTTCCCCCCTATGCTTCACGGTTGGGATGGTGTTGTACTCATCCTTCTTCCTCTAAACACAGCGAGTAGAGTTGATACCAGAAAGCTCTATTTTGGTCTCATCTGACCACATGACCTTCTCCTAGGCCTCCTCTGTATCATCCAGATGGTCAATGGCAAACTGAAAACTGGTCTGGACATGTGCAGTGGTGAGCAAGGGGACATGGTGTACCCTGCAGGATCTTAAACCATGATGGCGTAATAACTAATTGTCCTTTGTGAGTCTGTGGTCCAGCTCTCTTCACGTCATTGATCAGGTCCTCCTGTGTAGTTCTGGGTCGATTCCTGACCTTTCTCACAAATATCCTTACCCCGTGAGGCGAGCGCTTTCATGGAGCCCAGACTGAGGAAGAATTGAGTCATTGTCTGTTTGTGTTTGCTCCAAAAGTTGTTGTCTTCTCACCACATGCCTGTTGTCCTGTAGTCCACCACAGCCTTGTGCAGGTCTACAATTTAGCCCCTGGTGTCCTTAGACAGCTCTTTGGTCTTTGCCATGGTGGAGAGGTTGGAGTGCGATTGACTGAGTGCCGACAGGTGTCTTTTATACAGGTAACCATTTCAAACAGGTGCAGTGAATACAGGCAATGAGTGCAGAATAAGGGCTTCTTAAAGAACAACTAACAGGTCTGTGAGAGACTGAATTCTTCCTGGTTGGTAGATGATCAAATATTTATTTCATACAATAAAATGAAAAAAAAAAAGTATATATATATATATATATATATATATATCCATTCCATCCATTAGATTTTTTCCCGCTTCTTCCATTTCGGGTCATGGGGGCCTTTGCCCATATCCAGCAATCACTGTGCGAGGGGCAGGGTAAACCCTGGACAGGTCTCCAGTCCATCACAGGGACATAGAGACAAACAAGTCAAACAATCATTCACTCTCAATCATGCATAGGGACAATTTAGAGTTACCAATCAGTCTAACATACAGTACATGTTTTTGATCTGCGGGAGGAAACTGGAGTACTCAGAGAAAACCCACACATGCACAGAGAGAACATCCAAACTCCAACCAGAAAAGCCCCTAGACCGGGATTTGCACCGGCAACCTTTTCGTTGAGAGGAAGCAGCTCTACCATTTACGCCACTGTG